AGATCCACCAAGGCAAGAAATAAATGTCACTCCAAAAACCCTTAACCTCACGTGACGGAAAGAAAAACCCAAGAAATCCCTCCGCATGTTATGCGCTGTCTCTTCCACCATCCGCCGTTCATTTCTCTGCCATCCCTCTAGACCCTGCCCTCTCCGCCTCTTCGCCGCCGCGACCATGGCATTACAACACCCCCAGGACGAAGGCTATCTTCAGAAAGTCATTCCCAAGCGCATCCAGCTCTTTGAATCCATCAAGTCGCAGCAGCTCTCGCAGCTACAGTCCCTCCCCTCAGACCCCATCAAGATTGCTTTGCCCGATGGTACAGTGAAGGAGGGGAAGAAATGGGTTTCGTCTCCGATGGATATTGCTAAGGAGATTTCTAAGAGTCTGGCGTCTAATGCACTCATTTCTTCGGTTAATGGCGTTCTGTGGGACATGACAAGGCCGTTGGAGGGTGATTGTGAGCTCAAGATTTTCACTTTTGATAGTGACGAGGGGCGTGATACTTTTTGGCACTCCAGTGCTCACATTCTTGGTCAGGTACTGAGAGTCTGAGATTAGCACGGTCGTTTTGTTTTTGGGCAATTGGGTTGGTTTCTGCGTTCTGATTTTTGGCGTTTGGGCTTATTTTGATAATATTAATTATGGTGTTTCCATGTACTTCTTCTCCCTGTTCAGTCCCTCGAGAGTAGATATGGTTGCAAGCTGTGCATTGGGCCCTGCACCACAAGAGGAGAGGTAAGATCGTATGTTCATTAGACTTTATTTTCCTTAGTGTTGTAAAATTCACTGAATTCTTAGTTCTGAATCAGTTATTTGTATCTGAATTTAGCATATTTAAATGAATTTGTGTACATCAAGTTTTGAATCGCAGCAAATTTCCCTTTTAGTTTGTATGGCGATAAAGTTTTGAAGTTAAACAAGTAGAAGTAGTGTGATAAGAATATTGGAGCTTCTTTCTTTCTTTCTTTTTCTTTTTTTTTTCCTCTCCTTGGTTGATCCTTCCTTGACCTTTGATCGTTTTCATCTGGATACTTAGTTGGTTTTGGCTTTTTATTCATGAATTTCTCCTTTGAATTTTATGTGATCTTAATGTTCTATGTCTTGCAGGGTTTCTATTATGATGCATTTTATGGTGATTTGGGCTTGAATGATGATCACTTTAAGGAAATTGAAGCAGGAGCCCTCAAAGCTGTTGCGGTATTTTTCATAATCCTGAATGTGTCATGCTAGTTACACTTGTCATCTGCTGATAAATAAAAAAGTTACATTTGGCATCATTTTCCACTAGTTTCCCAGTTCTGTTGGTTTTGAAACAACACTTGTTTATCATGATGTACCTCTGACTGCTTAGTAAATTGAGTTTTTAGGAGTGAATGGCTTAAATTTCCGTAGTGTATGAATTGTTATTTAATATGCTTATCAGAAAAGATGTTGCATTGTTGCTATTTGTCACAAATGTTAAACGCACATTATTTTTTCTTTCCATTCTTTTAGGAATGTGAATGGGATATCAGTCTCTTGAAATTGTTTCTCTGAAAGAAATTGTTTTATTTGGTACTTAAATTCTCAGGAAAAACAACCATTTGAGCGCATTGAAGTGACAAGAGACCAAGCTCTTGAGATGTTTTCTGAGAATAATTTCAAGGCAAGTTGAGCTGCTCGGTTTTGTAATTACAAGTCAAACTATTCTTCAATGTACTTCACATTTTTATTTCATAATTCAGATTTTGTTGTCATTGTTATTATCAGGTTGAAATCATCAGCGATTTGCCTGCAGACAAGACTATCACTGTATACAGATGTGGTCCATTGGTTGATTTGTGTCGTGGACCCCATATTCCTAATACATCCTTTGTGAAAGCATTTGCGTGTTTGAAGGTTATGTCAATGATATACTGAGCCTATACTTTGAAATGTTTGAACTTTTTTTCCCAAAAATTTTGGTTACTTAACCATGAATTTCTAATTACAGGCTTCATCAGCATACTGGAGAGGTAATAAGGAACGAGAAAGTTTGCAAAGAGTTTATGGAATTTCTTATCCTGATCAGAAGCGCTTGAAGGTAACATCATATTTATGCCCCTTATTTTTAGTTTTAATTCTAGTTACTTGCTCTATTGGCTGTATTTGTTCTTTTCCTATAATTTTTGGTATTTCGGTTTGATTGTTGATTTGTTTCACTCTGAGATCATCAAAGCAGCAACACTCAAATTTAATGCGTAGAAAAAATCTTTCTTATTTTTTTCTTCTCTTTTTTTTTTTTAACTGCTTCCAGTTATAATAATAAAAATGAATCATTTTGGAGACAGTAATGTTAGCTTGCATTCATTAGGGGTTATTTTTTACCAGAAGAATGTTTTAGGGATTAAAAACTCAGTGCACACCACATCATTATGCATATTGAAGTCTGAACAATCGTAAAGACTATTAAAATGTGTTTGGTAAATTTAGTTTGCCACCAATACATAATTCAGTATGACTAGATGCTCATTTGTTCAGAACTTTGTTTAACTAGGATAAGTGGATAACATGATATAACTGAGTTACCATAAGGGACAAATGTTACTAAATTTTGTCATGTTTTAAACAGTTGGACTTCAATTTTAATATTTTGTTGTGAATGTTAATCCTCCACAACAGGAGTATCTTAAACAGCTGGAAGAAGCAAAGAAATATGACCATAGATTGCTTGGAACAAAACAGGAGCTTTTCTTTTGTCACCCACTTAGGTATGGGATGGCTAAATTTAGTTTGCAAATCCATTAAGTTGAATATTGTCTAATTTTTTTAACTTTGTAAATTTCAGTCCAGGAAGCTGGTTCTTCCTTCCTCATGGCACTCGTATTTACAATAAATTGATGGAATTTATACGAAATCAATATTGGGAGAGGGGTTATCAAGAGGTTCCTTATCAGTTCTTTTAGAATTGTAACACATTTTTTTCCAGGTAAGATGTTAACTTTTTTCAATTCTTGCAGGTTAAGTCACCAAACATGTATAATATGAATCTTTGGGAAACTTCTGGCCATGCTGCAAATTACAGGGAGAATATGTTCTTATTTGAGGTGAGGTTTGTGTAACTTTGCAATGTTTTATCTTTTAAGGGGGGTAAAAGTAAGTAATTCTCCCCAAAGACTGATTTGTTGCTTTACACAGAAAATGGGTGCATGTATAGTGGAGCGCATGATTGTCCTTATATTAAGTTTTATCTTTCCAAAATTAATATATTTGTAAAGCCTCTAACTTTTTCCTTTTTTCTTCTTTTTCTCGAGTGATAGGAATACACTCTTTGTGAACTTATTGATGAATTCAGGATTGTTTTTATGAATTAACTGTTATGATATATTTGGTTGTGGAACAGATTGAAAAACAAGAATTTGGACTGAAACCAATGAACTGCCCAGGCCACTGTTTAATGTTTCAGCATAGAGTTCGTTCTTATAGAGGTTAGTTTATTTCTTCAATACATTTAGTAGTTACTGTAACTCCCTTTTACTCCAATTTAAATTTTAGGAAGGGCCAACAACTACTACAAATATTATAAAGTTTTTGTGTTGGGATATTGACTGTTTTATGATGTTTCAGGGAAAAGCTTTCTGGAGCTATGGTCCTCCCTGTTTTTTCTTTTCATGTGGTCATTCCATACTTGGTTTTTGCCTTTTGGCCCTTAACTAAACTGTAGGAGTTGGTTGTTGTGATGCCAATTAGAGCAAGCTAACATTATTTATGAATTTTTATGAATGGATATGGTTAAACAGCATGCTTTCTGTGTCCTGGTATCATCTTATTCCATCTGCTGTGCTGTATTTGGTATTTCTTTATGGAGTGGGTTTATTTAAATTCTTTCTGTGAAAAGCTTGTTGCCTGCTATTTGAAAACCATGGTATCTATATTGTAAAAGCATCTCTTCCTGTAATCCTTTAGTTTGTTAGTAGTGGCTTCTATCAACCAGCTCATACAAAATTTTTGGTGCAGAACTACCTCTTCGCCTGGCTGATTTTGGCGTTTTGCATCGCAATGAGGCTAGTGGTGCACTCACTGGGTTAACTCGTGTCAGGAGGTTTCAGCAGGTAGGTACCATTGTTTGAGTTGGGCTTCATTGTTTCATGTAATGATCTTTATGCTATTTTGTTGGTTAAAATTCCTTTCAGACCAAGTTTTATTGATTCTATTCAGATCTTATAGGAATAGTGATTATTTGTCATTCTAGTTTCAAATTTAGTTCAGTAGCCACCTTATTGCTTTAAATTTTTTCCCCTAAAGATCTGGATAGTGAAATTTGATGTGACATTAACCCACTTTTTGTTTCAGGATGATGCTCATATTTTCTGCAGAGAGTCCCAGGTGAATTAAAATTTAATTTATGAGCTACAAAGTAAATATTTTTTGATGGTAGGTTTTCTATTTCTGGTGTAACTGTTTTTGCTTTATTTCAGGTCAAAGATGAAGTAAGGGGTGTCCTGGAATTCATCAATTATGCATATAACATATTTGGATTCACTTATGAGCTGAAGCTGTCTACAGTATGTTGTGCACTTTTTTCTTTGCTTCTATAGTATATGGTCTATTTGATTTTATGGTTGAAATTGGTATTTTAACATTGGTTGCCTTTTATGAGCTGAAGTCCATTTCTTTTACGAAAATGTTTGCATTGTAGAGGCCAGAGAAATACCTCGGAGATTTGGCAACATGGGAGAGAGCTGAAGCTGCTCTTTCCGAAGCATTAAATGAATTTGGGAAGCCTTGGCAGGTAATTTTTACCTCAATAGCGTCTAAGATTCAACATACCTTCGCTATCTTTTTTACAACATACACTGTTTGGAAATTAGTTGAGTCAAATGTTGGCAGCAAATAAAAATTTACTTCTAGTTATAGCTGCCCTTGACCAAACAATTTATTGTTACTTTTGGCATACAGCATGATAAAATGACTGCATGTAAAAGTATATAGAATAACTATTTTTTCTGAAGCTAAGATCAGCTTCTGTTGAAGTTACATCCAAGTTTTATGCTTTAAAATTTTAACCTATCTGAGAATTGTTTTAATCAGGAAACAAGTAGTAGGGCATCTCAAAATACCTGAAATAGACACATTCTATGTAATAACATTCATGGTTACATTACCAGGATATGCTAGTTTTGCCAATTAAATAAAAGTTTACTTTTATGTTAGATCTTTTGATTTCCCTTTTGTGCTTGATGTTCTCAATTCTTCAGTCGGATGTTATTCAATTTTTCCTCCATTTTGCTGTCATGTTTGTGGAGATTTATGGTTGGAGTTATGTTGAGCAGATAAATGAAGGAGACGGAGCCTTTTATGGACCGAAGATAGATATCAGTGTATCTGATGCATTGAATAGAAAATTTCAGTGTGCAACATTGCAGGTTTCTTTTGTTACATTTAATTTTGGTTTTCACCTAAGCCTCCCTTTTCCAAAATTGCTAGTTAATGGTCAACCCCTTTCTATGCAGCTTGACTTCCAGCTTCCTGATCGTTTCAAGTTGGAATACTCAGCAGAGGATGAAGCCAAAAGAGAGAAACCTGTTATGATACATAGGGCTATCCTGGGGTCTGTTGAGCGTATGTTTGCCATACTTTTGGAGCATTACAAGGGTAAATGGCCCTTCTGGCTTAGTCCACGTCAAGCAATTGTTTGTTCTGTTTCAGAAAAGTCTGAGCCCTATGCACTAAAGGTAGTCTGCCCGTATGCTCTTTAGCTTTTCTTAGTTACTCCATTTGGTGGGCATTGGTGTATAAATTTTGTTATCCTGAACTCGACTTCTATTGTTTTCTCTTGTTTCGTATTTTCTTAGGTTCGGGATCAAATCCATCAAGCTGGTCACTATGTTGATGTTGATACAACAGATAGAACAATCCAAAAAAAGGTATGATTTACATTTGCGTTTATCTGTTACTAGTTTGGATTCGAAAATTCACTCGGAAGCTGCTACTTTGAAAATATAGCTTCTATCGCTGATGGCTTTCACTTTTCCTTGACACAGATACGAGAAGCTCAGGTGGCACAATATAACTACATATTGGTCGTCGGTGAAGAGGAAACCAAGACTGGACAGGTTCTTACTTATTCTTATCTCTGTATTGATTGCAAATGAACTTCATATATCATCATGGTTAGATTTTTCAACCTAGCTTTGCTCATGATAGGTTGATTTCCCTCCTCATAGATTTTTTCTTAATTACATAGATTTGGTGTTTTTCTTCATCTGAAGTCAATTAGGATTTGATTGTTATCTCAATACTACTCAAATGTATTCAGGTGAACGTGAGGCCGAGGGATAACAAGGGGGAGCATTCTGCCATGAGCATTGAGAATCTGCTTCAACACTTCAAGGACGAAACTGCAGCATTTCGTTAAGATGACAGATTTTTTGATGGAAACAAATGTTAGTGATTCTATTATTACATGCTGATGCCAAAGAAATTTGGATCGGTCCATTTTGTTGAGAAAATTAATTGTTAGGCCTTTCTGAATGAATTTTTTTTTTTTTTTTTAGACAACACAGACTTTTTGCTTTTACTTGAACTCTGAATGAAACTCTAAAGTGGCACGACATGAACATCCAATACATGAATCACGTTCACCAGTTTTTCCCTGTAATTTCCTTTTGAATGCAATCCAGGGCCAAAGAGAAAAAGACACGTTATAAAACGCAATTCAAAAATTTCATGATTTCTTTGGGTATTTATCGGCAATTATTGAATGTATTGAAGACAAAACCCTTTCTAAAGCTCTCAGACTTGTCTCAAACTAATGTGTGAGTCCCAAACATAAAATAATGTAAGTAAATCTTTAAATTCTTTGAATAATACACATCAATTCTCAAATTTTTTGAAAGACACAAATTAATCTTTATCATCAATTGCCAATGCATATAAGTTATATTATTTGTTACTTTTTTTGCTTAGTTCTATTTTTTTGGGTGAATATTGACATGTATAAGATGATTGTTTAAATAATAAAAAGATATTGCTTTATGGTCTGGTAATTATATATTTCATTGTAAAGTATATTTTTACTTTTAAAATTAAAGTTTGAATCTTCTTCCCCTCAACTATGATATGTTCAAATAATAATAATAATAATAATAAGATATTAATATATATATATATTTTTTAATTTCTATCTTGTGCAAGTGCAACCCATTTTCATCCATTCACCCACCTACCCACCCACCCCTATACCTACAACCTGATTTAGGAAATTTGATCAACACCAAACCACTTTGCATGAGAAAATCATGCATATTAATGCATACAAATATTATAAATTAATGAAGATTATTATGATTCAAAACCGACAATGATACATAGGAATCTAGGCTCAGACAGCCGCCACAACAAACAAAGCTAACTAAAAAGCCTAGAGGACGAACTCCAAACTACTTTGTCGGAAACATATCAAGCTCAAACTAATCAATAGCTAATTCAAGTCGATGGAGAGAGAATCAATATTATTATTAATGATAAGCAGAAATGGAAGTGCTACTCTCACCCACTTCCTGTTCAGGCCTATATTCTTCGTCCATGACCTTTTTAGTCACTTTCTCCATTCCATAATACTCTAGATGCAGTTGTGAAGGAGATACAAACTGTGACTCACAGTACCCTGCTGAAGCTGGTGGGGGTACAACTGATGGGAGCTTGGAGAGGAGGGCTTCGAGGCTCCTCATGGAGGGGGTGATCTTCATTGGTTGATTGAAATGGTCATATAGTTGAGGTTGTGGTGCAATAGTTCCAGGGTAGTGACATGTCTCTAGTGTGCCACTGTACTCATCTCCCTTGAAAGGGAAAGCAGAAGGTGATGGATGAGGCAACAACACCCCAGGAATGCTTTCTATGTAGCTGAACCCCTTTCTCAGTGGAACAACAAAACTCAGCTGATCTTCAATTACCTTGAGTGTGGCATTTATGAGAAAGAAAAGAGATATATAGAGTCAGTGAACAATATTGCTAATTAAGAAGTTTTGTGCTGGGTTCTGTGTATGTCTGAGGAAGGAAGATAAAGAACCTTGTGAACAGATCCTAATTGGACAACACCCTCTCTAACTGCAATCAAGGCTATAGTCTGCAAAGATATTTCAGTTAAGACAAGGAAGAAGTAGATCCATCACAATATTCAAAGTTATTTCGTGATGTTTCTGCTGTTAAATGTACCTTTATACCAGACTGAAACTGAGCTTCCCATGTCCTGGGACGCTGTAAAGAAGAAGATTAATTTAGGGTAAGAAAGAAACACATTTTTCTTCTAATAAGTGGGGATATGGAATCACCAACCGGATGCAAGCAAGGATATAATTTATATGCTTACCCAGTCTACAGAGTCATGCCATGAGGATAAGATGTCCATTTCCTGGTCATTTGGTTCTTTATATATCCACTTGTGACTGTGATCTGCAGCCACTTTTCCTATCAAACTGTGCATATTGAGACCAAAATCAGTTTGCTAACTGTTGAAATACATAGATAATTTGAATCATCTTGCTAAGAAATATGACATAACTCATGAGCGTAAGCTTCACTTTCTCACCCTTCTCCATAGTTGTAGATTTCATGGGACATCTTGAAGAAAAGCTCTGGTTGCAGTCCTTGATATTGCTGAAATTCACATTTGCTATACACTGAGGAACCAGGATACTCATCTGAGTTTATCTCAGCTGCTGAGGCAGCAAAGTTGCAGAAACCATCTTCCCATACCAATATCCTGATATGATACAGCATGAAAGAGTTAATTTCTATAATGATGCATAAAGAGGATGGCATATTTCCAGAATACTATGAAAGGAGAAGAATCACTATATATATACCAGTTCCTCCTGTTTTCTCTTGACCGGTCATAAGCTCCTCGACCATCCCATCTATGATAAACGAAGAATTTGTTAGAAAAGACATGCTGAACCAAAAAAGAATAGTAATATATAGACCATGGCATGCACTTTATATTAATCTATGGCATATGAATTAGGCATTTAGATCCTTCTCTGGAGTCTAGAAAGAAAGGAAACCTATTTAACCTATACTTTGTAATTTATTTTTTCTTTCCTTACTTGGGAGGAGGGTAATTCCTAGGCAAGATTCTCCAAAAGACTGCATAAACCCACTGAGAGTTCTCTTGAGTGCACAAGCTCCTCAGGGAGTGTTGAAGGAGATGAGTGACAGCTAACGGGCTAAGATAATCTTCCATCTCACCTCCCACACACACCCTTTCTCTTTCTTACCTCCTGCTTTCCACTCCCCTTAGCTTTCTTTAAAAGAAAGGAACACTCACAATCTCAACCTCATTTTATATAACCCAAGAAAATTTGTATGACATTTGATTGGATAGCATATGTATTTCCGTGATACAAAAGAATCGGTCGGTTTTGGGACACTATTGGTGTATTTAATAAAGCTAAATATTTTACCAAAATGATTTTTATGTGGCCCAACCCTGTTGCTATCTTGGTTCCCAACGGTGTCTTTGACAATCCTCTATTCAAAACAACTCTCCAGTTGATTTTTTTTTTCTCAAACCTTTTATCTAGCAGACCAAACCTCATTATTCTTGCATGCACTACATCAAGATGAGTAGTTTCAACTTCAATGCCTGTTTTACCATTCTGATTCATCAAGGTATTACAACTCATTTCAGTCCCAAGAAGATGAAGAAGAAGACGAAGAAGAAAACCTTTGTTACCATACACCTTCTTCATTTATTCATTTCTATGCAGCGCCATTGATTTCTAGCAGACCATGTTAAATTATACTTGTAGGTTTACAGCTGTATCTGTCTCTCTCTGCATCACTTTGGTCTATGTCTATACGTACGTGGTACGGGTGTCCTGTACTCCAAGTCTCCCCCTGTAACGCAACGACAACCAAATATTATCACAAATGAAGCCAAGAGTTAGAAACCTGGGGTTTTCAAGAGACCTGTTAAATTTTGCTGCCATTCTTTATAACCTCTTACAAGGGGTATGGTATGTGCACATGGATTGAAACATATAACTGCACCTTTACACATTTTAAACATATCCTTATAACATGAAAGGAGGTACAGGTATATGTAGAGAATTGAGAGATAAAAAAAGGACCCTGGCATTGAAATCTCATGATCCCATTGAATTTCATGTTTCACTAACTTTGAATTGGTGCAGTTTGGATTCATAGACCTGCAGCTACCACTTAAGAGGGGTCATCACAATGACACAGGCAATTCAGATCAGATGATGAAAAGGGCTTGAATGTAACTTTGTTGTTAGGAAGAGAGTGAATCATAGAGAGAAATGTTGAATTTGCAGTCTCTATATCTATTTTCCAAGTAGTTTTCGTATAGATACTTGACATACATTACACAGACATTGATGCAAAGACTCATAAAAACCCATTGTACTTTTCCCATTCTATCCTCGACAAGATTTTGATTAGTTTGGGATCTCTTTCTCTCTCTCCCAGGTCTGCAGTTACATAATGACTAAAAGGAGCTATCAGTAGTGCTTTCATTTCACCTCCCTGACACCAAAAAAGTTTGTCTTTGACCATCTGTTCATCAGAGATTAATCTGTCTCATTACCTATGTAATCAACCTATGATTTAACACATAATCCAACAATCATTAGGGAAAAGGAAGAAAACAACCATCATTAGTTAGTCTAGTCTCCTTTGGCTCCTTTTGAAGAACACCCCTCATCCCAGCCAGTTAAATGGATTCTGTTCATTGCTGTTTAAAAATTGTAGTGCCATGATAAATGTACGGTCCCTTGGCAAAGGTAAAACAGGTGAGGTGGGGACAGTTTGAATGAGGTGAGGTAAGAAAAGGGGGATATGCAGGTTTGAGGGGGGTGGGGGTCCAAATGAATGAGCTCTGGATTTTATTGTTGGTGGTGATGGTTTCTAGTTTCTAGTGGTTAGCCATATCATATTTGTTTTGATTCTCCTGAAGATTTCATGTGAGACCAGTAGAAAAGAAATGTTACTTTCAGTTTAGACAGATTCTTAATAGAATAAAGGGGGAATATGTTTTGGTATGGAGAAATTAATTAAAGAGTGTGGCATAACTGTCCAATGTCTCATATATCTAACATATCTGACATTTGAAATATGTAAGACTTGTACACATTCAAGTCATGTCGACTATAACTTCTGGCAATACCTCCGTCCCACTACACCCAGCTTTTACACATCGCCAAAGTGTAAGAAAAAGACCAGCTTATGCTTTGTACCTCAAAGGTGAGCATATACGCAAACCTAGCTACCACCAGAACCCGTAGCTGGCTTTTCAATCTAGGCCATTATGACTAGACAATCTATGAATGCTTGATCAATTGTTCCTACCTCAAAGGTCTGAGAAATGAACGGCCCATTTTCAATTTTGAGTTGGTCAAATGGAAAGTGATTGATCGATGGACTTCTGGATCACCAACTAGGCAGTCCCATTATCTAATGGACCGTCCACCATCGAGATGGTCCTCATACCCTTCTATATTGTGGACACATTTCAACGTAGACAATATATAATTAGGCATCATTCCCTACCATACTATCATCTTCCATCAAGGTCCATCAACATCACAAATAAAGTATGCTAAACAACAAAATGGAGAAGCAATTATCTAACATTTTGAACCACTTTAGCATTGGATTTCTTCACGTCTCCACACATTCTTAATCATTAGACCATTGTCTCATTAGAATGTTTAATTCATGTTCTTAAGGGTATAATGGCTCCTTATTGGTTTTTCATCATGTTAGTTTCTTAGAACTGAAAGAGACTCACAAAAGGAGTGAGATGGGAATTGGTGCCAAAAACTTGTTGGTTGAAGACAAATTAGAGAGAATTGGGAACACCAGAGAAAGAAACTTTTTAATCAAACTTTAGTCTCTATCTCTTCCTCGTACACATGGGAGCGCACAGAGTCACAAACTGACATGAGCCCTTAGAAATATCATCTAAATTGCATCCTCTAAAGATGATCAAATCATAATATGGTTGATTTTAATATAAAAGGAAAAAAGAATAAGATTTGATCATAAAAAGAAAAAAATATTATGTCATTATAAAAATTAATCAAATCATGAGAAATTAATTTATTAATTGAATAATTTTAAAATTTTGTATTTTCAT